GGGCCAGTGGTGAAATGATATAGTTCAAATACATAACCCCATCCAAATCTCATGTTAAATTAGATTCTCCAATGCTGGAGGTGTGGCCTGGAGGGAGGTGTGTAGATTATGGGGGTGGATCTCTCATAGCTTGGTGCTATCTTTGTGATAGTGAGTTCTCATCAGATCTGTTCCTTTAGAAGTATGTAGCACCTCCCCACCCCAATTGCTTTCTTGCTCCTGCTTTTGCCAAGTGACATGCCTGCTCCCCCTTTGCCTTTTGCCATGATTGTAAGTTTCCTGAGGCCTTTCTAGATGGTAAGCAGATGCCAGCACCAAGCTTCCTGTAAAGCCTGCATAATCCAGTTAAATCTCTTTTCTTTATAAATTCCCAGTCTCGGATATTTCTTTATAGCAATGTGAGAATGGCCTAATACACAGTTCTCTATAAGACTGATGACTAGGGAAAAATACAAGTAATATGGAGATTTGGTGTTCAGAGCATTTGTGTTCAAACCCTGCCATTACAAGTTACTAGCAAACTAAGTAACTTAGCTTCTCTAAGGGAGTTTGCTTTTCCACAAAATATAGTTTTTTTGAGAATCAAATGATATGAAGCCTGCAAAGATAATTTTAACCTGTAACCCAATGCACACACTAGTCAGATTTATGTGTGATGACCAAAGGGAATTAATCAGAAATATATTGTAGATAGTGCACAATGAGAGCACTTCTCAGATAAGGAATGTTATTGAGGGCTCTCAAAACTGTTCTGTATCTTTCCCAAGCCTTGCCTTTTTTTGTTTGTTTGTTTTTTGTTTCTGAGATGGAGTCTCACTCTGTCACCCAGGCTGGAATGCAATGGTGCGATCTTGGCTCACTGCAACCTCTGCTGCCCAGGTTCAAGCAATTCTCCTGCCTCAGCCTCCTGAGTAGCTGGGATTACAGGCGTCTGCCACTGCACCTGGCTAATTTTTGTAATTTTAGTAGAGACGTGGTTTCACCATTTTGACCAGTCTGGTCTTGAACTCCTGACCTTGTGATCCACCTGCCTCGGCCCCCAAAAGTGCTGGGATTACAGGCATGAGCCACCATCCCTGGCCCTAAGCCTTGCCTTTTACTCTTCCACCATAGGTGCTCTGCAACTATTCACATCAAAGGCTTTAAAGAACTCCGCAGAGTTTTCTTGTTGACTCAAACCTCTTGCATTTGCTTCTTCTGCTCTTACTCACCTTCTCCTCTGCTCTTCCACTATATGTGCTAAGGGTCCAGTGAACATCTGATTATAGCCTCTTCTTCTTTGGTGCCCGTACTGTTGCATCACCTTCCTCACTCTCCTTGCCCAGCTGAGGATCACAGGTTCATCTCATACTAGCTCCCTTGTCCACCCATTACAATTACCTGTATATTAATTTTTTCTCCACTAGACTGGGAACTCATGGAGATTTGGGCTTTTGCTTTACTTATCATTACTATCATTACATCTCAGCATCTAACAAAGTGTAGGCTATAACAGATACTCAAGAAATGGCTGGCTAAATGAATACAATTATATTGATATGAGAACAAAGTAAGATATTTTCTGTATAATCAAATGCATATACAAAGAAATTACAAAATATGTAGAATGGAGCAGGTACAAATATCACCTCTATTCCTCTGTTGACTCTTCCCTCCTAAACCCAGGAAAATGACAACCATGAACTTGCTCTTTCACTACTAACAGATGTTGTATTTTAAAAATAATTGTCATCAAGAAAATTTTCATGACTCATGTATCCCCCATATATGCTAACTTTAGAATCCATTGTTTTAAAACCAAACAGTGTAAAGTTTTTAAGGTATATATGTACATTTTTTCTAAACAAATGAGAATGCAGAGAGCAATGGGTTTCAATACAGTTTACCTTTGGGAGTACTTTATTCCTCAATTTGTCTGTCTTATGTATACTCACATCTGGTTGGTGCTAATAAAAAATGAATTTCATACTTCTTCTTCCTTTGTCATTAAAAATACCTAAATAGTTTTTCTAACTTTTTAATTTTATGCATCATTGCTTTCTAGTATCACAGGAAATTTTGTGTGTGTGTGTGTGTGTGTGTGTGTACGTGCACGCGCGCGTATGTGTGTGTCAGAGAGGGGGAGAAACAGAGAGAGAGCAAGAGATTCTGTCATCAGATCCTCTAGACCCTATCTCCACTGTAATGAAGCTTCAGCAAAATTTGAAAGGCCTGTGTGTTTTTGTTTTAATAAATGCATCCCCGAGAAAATGAGTCAGACTAAATAAAAAGTGGGCCACTGAAGGAGATTCAGAAAGATAATAGCCCAATATGCCAAGAAATATAAGCATGGCTGAGCTAATTCATTCTCTGGTGTTTCATAATTTTCCTTGTGACTTCTAATAATACACCTATTTATTGATACAGACCCTAGAGATAAAAATAGAAACACCATTTTAAAATATATTTGTATGGTTGTTGTAAACATGCAGTCTTTGTTACCCTTTGTAATGCTTAGGAAAAAAAAGTCATTTAAATTGTGATATTTTTGTAAAGTGAACCTATAGCAAATAACAGAGTCAGTTTGAATTATAAATCCCTTAAAGCACTAAATCATCAAAATTAGTAATGCAGAGAAATGGGGCACATTGCTTTCTACTAGGCTAGATTTAGAATGAGTTAGATAAGATAATATGACTTAAAAAGAAGAGTGACTCAGGATCATAAAGTTACGTTTATTCTTAGGCTAACTCAACCACCAAAGGGTAAACTATTTGCCACCTAAGAATTGGGTACATTTAAGCTCTTACCGCAGTGATTTTCAACCAAGCCATGGGTCACTTAACAACATCTGGACACATTCCTGGTTGTCACAACTGAAAGGAGGTGCTATTGGCATTTAGCGGGTAGATGCCAAAGATGTTACTAAACATCCTGCAATCACAGGACAGCCCACACAGCAGAGAATTATTTACCCCGAAGTGTCAATAGTGCCATGGTTGAGAAATCCTGCTTTACAGGAATTCTCAGGAGGTTGTAATTCTTTTTATATTGGGCAATGTTGTTATTAACTGAAAAGGTACCTTGGTTACTGTGGTTTTAACTGGAAAATTACATTTTAGTTGGATTATTACCATGTTGAAATATTAATGACTTGGTGACATAATAAAACTAACACTAAAAACATTTTTAAGAGTCATTAATTATAAAGAGTTTAGGAAGTTACCAAAACCCTTACAGCCAATATTTACTACCGCATGTTCCAGTTTGCTAATGCTACAATATAACATCTGATGAAACTCTAATTATGAATCAGCTTTACAATGAAATTTGATATGAGCATTTCACTGTTATTATTTTTTTCCCACAATAAGCCCATTTTCTTTTTAGGTGAAATATTAATTATAAATTAACTAACTAAGTTGTGATTATTTAGGCCCTCCCCTTTACTGGAAACAATTTAAAACGTACAGAGTGATGTTCTATAATCATTATTTAAAAACACCATCTGTACTGCTCAGAATTTAAAGTGAACCTGAATCACAGGAGTTCCTCTCTAAGAAAAACCTGGTCCTTGAAATTCACAAAAAGGATAAATAGTATATAATTTATCTCCTTCTTAATATATTTTAGGTCCTCTGAATCCGTTTACCCCTGAGTATTCTCTGCTTGAATAAAGGAAGCTTGACATGGTTTGGGTCTGTGTCCCTGCCCAAATCTCATGTCCAGCTGGAATTCCCAATGTTGGAGGTGGGGTTTGGTGGGAACTAATTGGATCATGAGGTGGATTTCCCTTTTGCTGCTGTTCTCGTGAGAGTGAGTTGTTGCAATACCTGCTTGTTTAAAAGCGTGTAGCACCCCTCACCTCATTCCTCGTCTTCCTGCTCAGTTAAGTAAGATCTGCCTGCTTCCCCTCCACCTTTTGCCATGATTGAAAATTTTCTGAGACATCCCTAGCCCTGATTCTTGTACAGCCTGCAGAACCATAAGCCAATTAAACCTCTCTTCTTTATAAATTACTAGTCTCAGGTATTTCTTTATAGCAGTGCAAGAACAGACTAATACAGAGCTTTAAAAGGATTTGAATATATTTTAGCTAGTTCTTACAACTATAACCTTGGCCATATTAAATAAAATGCCATCTTTAATTACCAGAAAATACATGGTAAATTATAAACGTAACAACAATAATGTTTAATGCATACCAAATATCGGTGTTCCTACCAAAGAGTGCTGTCTTCATATGGTTTGTTTTGGCAAAAAACATAGTACCCAGCTTAAATACACTGAAGTTCTGACAAGTATTGTGAACTGAAAATACATAAAAAGATACATGTTTTCAGCAAGTGTGCACAGAAACTGTGTATTATATAACTCATCTGTGATTTTATACTTAAAACCATATGAGTTTGAGGTGTACTCAGTATTTATCTCTGTGAATAACTGACTTTAGAAAAACAAAATATCATTTCCTTCTGGATCATAAAATGCCATTTGTTCATGCCTGTCTAAAAATCATAGATCCATCAGGTAAATGTAAAGAAAATAGCATTACCCAAGTTTCCACTTTTATGTAATAACTCCTACACTGATGAGCAGATTAATTCACCAGGCTGATTCACCATTTTCTTTCACCCAGGGCTCTTAACAAATCTTATTATTGACTATGTAAATTCATATGTGTTTTTAAAAAATTTGATGTTCTCAAGGTACTGGCCTTATAAATTTTTTATACGTTGAAGAATGACTCACAGATGTCTTAAGGTAAATAAGGGGGGGAAGAGAGATTTATATTCCATTTACTTTGCTTTGAGTCTTAGTAAAAGAATAAGCTAAAAAATATGTTTTATGTGTGTGGGACTAGCTATGAATAAATATTTTTAGGATAAAACCATTCAATACTACTCTTATCCATATAGTTCTACATCACCTCTTCTCTTATATAGTATAATATCACAGGAGTAAATTGTTTTTCAATCACCCCAAAGTATATAATTTTCTGTTTTAAGGTCCCTCCTCACCTGATTATCAGTTTCTAAATTTTTTGCCAAAGGGAAGTTCAGTTCCATTGCTCTTGCTTTTCTTTTTGCTTATCTGAAAACAAACAATGAAAGTCATGGAGTTAGTATATGATGATGATTACCTGGAACTGAAAAACTGGTGGTCATTAGGTTATTTCTGTATGTGAAACATTAACAAACCAAATATACCAGCAAGTGGTCTTTATTATCCTTTAGACACCACTCTGCACCTAGGTAATCTCATTCTGTTCATTCTATTCCTGGCCTTCCACAGGATTGTAATGGGAAACCCCAGGGCTATGTCCCTGACCCCTCTCTTCTCCCTCCACACCTATACTTAGAAATGCTGTTTCCCATTCCCCAGACTCCTTTCTCTCCTATTCACTCTTGGCCAGGAAAATTTTCCTATCATTAGATGTTTCTATGTCCTGCCTTCAAGGGAATATATTCCCACTTAAAAAGAACATTTAGGTAGGCACAATATTAACCAAAAGAAATGTGTGACCCCCAAATTGGTAATTTCAAACTCTAGTATTTGACTAGCTCTAAGAAAGACAGAAAAAGTTTAAGAAACTTATAATTTATAATATCTTCTAAGACCCTGCTAACTTTTACACATGTGTGTCTCAGTATTTTTTGACAACACGTGTCTGATGAGGAATGGCAGACCTTATGAGTCTGGCCTCTAATGAGAACCTTTTGGGAGTTTTTGCATTCAAATCATACTTAGTTTATACTAAACTTGCTCAGCAAGATTGATGCTTATATTTTATCACATATTTTCAGGCTAAAAAACAGGATCCTTTTAAATTCCAAGCTCCACAATATTTTTTCCTTATAAAGAGCTGTCACAAATTATTGCTGTTTCTTACCAATAACTAAACAAACTGCTACGGACTGAGTTACACCTTGCCCCCAATATTATTTGTTGAAGCTCTAACTCCCAATGTGATGGTATTTGGAGATGGGGTCTTTGTAAAATAACTAGGTTTAGATGAGGTCATGAGGGCGGGGGCCTCATGGTGAGATTACTGCCCTTCTAAGAGGGGACAACAGAGACTTTTCTTCCTCACTTTCTCTCTCTCTCTCTCTCTCTTTTTCTCTTTCTCTCCCTCTGTCCACTTTATGATACCGTGAAATGCCATGAAAAAGCAGCCATTTTCAAGCCAAGAAGAGCACTTTCACTGGGGAACCAAATTGGCGGGCACCTTGATCTTGGACTTTTAAGCCCTCAGGACTGTGACTGTGAGAAATAAATTTCTGTTGTTTAAGCCACCCAGTCTATAGTATTTTTTATGACAGCCCAAGCTGAAAAATACAAACACAAATAAATAGAAAAATAAATAATGAATTGATCCCCTTCATTGTCATTATAAAGACAATATCAGAAATCAAATACAAAATTTGGCCATAAGAACCCCATCCAAACAAATGAGCTCTTTTATTTTAGAGTACATTTTGTCAAGATAGGTGTTTTTTGTTTGTTTGTTTGTTTTTGTTTTGTTTTGTTTTGTTGATGGAGTTTTGCTCTTGTCACCGAGGCTTGAGTGCAATGGTGCAATCTCAGCTTACTACAACATTCACCTCCTGGGTTCAAGCGATTCTCTCGCTTCAGTCTCTTGAGTAGCTGGGATTACATGAGCCTGCCACCACGCCTGACTAATTTTTGTATTTTCAGTAGAGACAGGGTTTCACCATGTTGGCCAGGCTGGTCTCGAACTCCTGACCTCAGGTGATCCACCCGCCTTGGCCTCCCAATGTGCTCGGATTGATAGATTCTTAATGCATCAGTCTAAAGTCTTGCCCTGAGAGTACCGAAAATGTTAGCTATAAGAAGAGCTCTCATGACTTAATGGGCAACCTTGATCCATATGTGTTACTTCTCCTGGTGTAGCTCACATATCTGTGAAAAGGTGGCTAAGACATTGATATTGTATGAAAAGTTGTAGTGAGCAAGCTGCTAAACATCACCATATTGCTACAGTAAGCTCTGTGTAAGTCTTCAGAAGAGTACCTTGTTTGCAAGTGTTTATTTTATTTTAATGGGTTGTACTCTGAGTAGGACAAAAATCACCAATCAAAGACATCCTACCAACTAAGATGAAAGAGATATAAAGAAAAAAATATTAAGCAATAAAAACACTAATGGCTACCAGGTAGTAGGCCCTTGCTATGTTCTGTAACTGTTCCAAGTGATTGACAGGTAACAACATTCAATCATGAAAACAACTCCGTAGATGTTATATACTCTTTTTATATATTACTGTAAGCTCCTACTTTAAGGATAAAGAACGGGAGATTCAAAGAGACTAAGTAACTTCCCTAGGACAGTTGGAGAGGTAATAGAAGAAAAGAGATTTGAACCCAACACAAAATGGCTCCCAACTCTTTTATTTCAAGCATGAGATACGGCCTCACAACAATACCCTTCCCAGCTACAGCAAAGGAGGTAAAATGACCCAAATGCAGCATAGAGGCTGAAGAAAACAACCAACTCTGAAGCTAGGAAACATTTTTGTATCCTGCCTTCCAGTCGTTATATGATCAGATACTGAGAAACCCTGAGCCTCACATGCTCACTGCCCTAGTAACAATGTACACACAGCCAGTAGACTCATTATATTCAACAAGTGAGAATTCACCGAGCTGAATAATTTCATTGACTCTAGACCTGCTTCATATTTCTTCAGCATATTATTCTTAATTCCCTCAACAATTAAAATCATATCAATGGGCTACACCAGTGCCAACATTTGAAGACTTTTACTTCCAGTTGTGTAAGAGCTATACTTGAATCTGGTGTGACTGACATCAGGCTCTAAATGAAATCATGAGGCCACCAAATTATTATGGTGCAACAAGGCCAAACACTAAACCATCAAATAATCTTGGAGGCGTTTTGCAGCCAATCTAAACAGTTAATAAAATGAGATCATAGGTTTTCCAGAAAGTAAAGCTAGCCATCCCTGCCTGATTCTGATAAACAAATTTCCATGTGAAATTTGGGGGAAGGAATTTAGAGTCTTCCCTGGGGACTGGGTTCAGTCTCTAGCTATCCCAATTTCAGACTCACCCTGTTATACTGCAGGGTGAGGTTGATGTTCTCTTAAAGCTGTTCAGCTCATCTCTCTGATGGCTTAAGGTTTTTTACCTTTTTAATTCTTCCAAATCTACATTAAAATGCCAAATATGATTTTTATTTAAATGCCAACATAGGGTTTATAAACATTATTGAGAAAGTGAAAGTGTAAAATTAGGAGCATACACACAAGATGAAACATCCAAACAAAAGAAGAAGAAAAAATAAAGACATAATGAGAATGAGCAAAAGAGAAAATACACAGAAGGGAGAAACTGCAGCCACTGGATATGGAAAGAGTGGGAACAGATTTTAATTTACTCATGCATTTCTCATGAAGCTGTGGAAGATATGCTCCAAATGCTTACTCAGACTGGGGCTAGAGAATACAGGTTCCTATGGGAACAGAAGCAGCTTACTGCCATGGTAGTCTGCGTTCCAAATGTAAGTTGCAGCAGCAGCCTTCTTTTCCTATTCAGAATATTATGTGTGCTCTCAGTCTCAATTATTGCACTCCAGAGAGCTGTGAAGAGCAAGCCTGTATCCTTAGCTCCTTGTTTCTTCCTGTCTTCCGAATTCAGATGTGTATTCTTTCCAACAGTTTGTCTTTTTTTCCTTCCCTGCAATTTATCAGGCTATTTCCTTTCCCTCAACATTCCTTAAACACCCAGTACAGTGTATATATTGTGTCTAAAATACAATGCTGCAGAAACGCAAAAGGTCACCTCATGTTGGCCAAACTGCCCAACTATCACCAGAGATGTATACTGCCTCATCAGAAACACACTGCCTATATTCATTTTGTTCTCATTGGTCCCTAAAGACAGATAAACAAATCAGCACCATTTTGAACTAAAGACAAATGAGCTCTCTTAGACGACAAATTATTTCTGTTGTCTACATAGACATTCTAATACGTTGCACCTTTTCATTACTAGGCTATTGTTTATTGTTATTGTTTACCTGGCTAGTGAGATAATCTTGACATATTATTTTGCAGCTGTATTAAGGTTCTTAGATACTCAGTTATCTTCTCATGCTTGGAAGTGTTTATTAACTAAGAAATAATGGATTCAGTATCCACTTTTTAAAACAGTGTTTCTCAAAATAAAATCTGTATACCACCTGTAAAATAATCACTTCTGTGGTTATTAAAAATGATGATTATCCATCAACCAAAAAGATATATAACTAAATACTGGCACATCAATACAATGGAAGTCTATTTAGCCGTAAATTATATAAGCAACTGATACACACTATAAAATAAATATTTTACAAATATTGTGCTGAGTGAAAGAAACTGGATGCAAAAGAAGTGCATTTTATATGATCCATTTATATTAGTTTCCTCATAGGAATACAGTGTTCACTTTGATCACCCAAAGAAACTATAAATGGGTCATATAATAGGCACTAAATTCATTGGGCATGGTGGCTGACGCCTGTAGTCTCAGCACTTTGGGAGGCCAAGGCGGGTGGATCACTTGAGGCCAGGAGTTCAAGACCAGCCTGGCCAACATGGTGAAATCCCATCGCTACTAAAAATACAAAAATAGCCGGGCATGGTGGCATGTGCCTGTAATCCCAGCTACTCGGGAGGCTGAGGCAGGAAAATTGCTTGAACCTGAGAGGTGGAGGTTGCAGTGAGCCGAGATTGGGCCACTGCACTCCAGCCTGGGCAACAGAGCGCGACTCTGTCTAAAAAAATAAATGAATAAAATAATGTGCACTAAACTAATAGAAACTGTTAGAAATCAGATCAGCAGTCACTCCTGGAAGGGGGATACTGAGTGGAAAGGAGCATGAGGGAATTTTCTTGGGTGATAAAGATATTCTATGTCTTAATATACATTCACAAAAACTGATCAAATAAAATAATTAAGATCTTAACCTTTCCTTGTATTTAAACTACAACTCAGTTTTTAAAAATGCTGGTTCTGATGTCCTATCACCTAAGCATCTGCGTTTATGGGAACAGACTATCTTGAAGAATAACTTTAGATTTACAGAAAAGTTCCAAAGATAATACGGAGTTCCTATATACACTGGACCCAGTCTCCACCACTGTCAACTTTTACATTACTATTTCACATTTGTCATAACTAATGAACCAGTATCGATACACTGTTATTAAGCAAATCCCATACTTTATTCTGAATTATTTGGTTATTTTTTTCCCATTGTCCTTTTTCTGTCCTAGGACCCCACCCAGAATACCACACTGTACTTTGTCATTATGTCTTCTTTAGCATCTCTTTACTATGACAATTTCTTGGACATTGTTATTGTTTTTCATGACCTTGACAGTTTTGAGAAGCACTGGTCAGATATTTCATAACATATCCCTCAGTTGAGGTTTGTTTGATGTTTTTCTCATGATGAGAGTAGGGCTATGGATTTTTGGGAGAAAGACCGCTGAAGTGAAGTGTCATTCTTATCACACTAAAGCAATGGTACATATGATCAACATGACATCACTTACAGTGTTCACCTGGATCACCTAAGAAGCATCTGCATTTTAAAACCAGTTCCTTGGATATTTCTTATATTTACTAACTTTCAAAGTGCCATATTAAATTTTAACATTTCACAGAACATTAAACAAGTCAATGTTAGAAGCTGTAACACAACTCTCTGCTCAAAGCCATCTATTACTCCTCAGAAGTGTCTGCCATATCTCTTTAATATGTCTTGTACCTCTGTGTCAGGAGATAGGATGGATGCCCTGCATTTCCCATGGGATGACCTTTTCCCTAAAACTCTCAGTTCCTTTGAAAGTCATGCTACCCAATATGTTTACTGCCCAAGTAACTCCCCCGACTCAGTCATCCACAAGCCTTTGATTGCCCCTGACAATTCCTTCGAGATTTTAGTTTCCAACTGTTTATTTTCCATAAATGCTTATTTCATATTTTTCAGTGACATCAATATCCACATATGTGTTTCTTTCAATACATGTCCTCTCCATTTCTTGCCCCCATCTTTGGTGATCTTACCTCTGTTCCACCTCCTCCATGGTCATGGTTAAACTTCATTATTAACAATCTTATCCACTCCAAAATTTCCAGTTTTAATCATCCCATCAAACACATCTGTTCTGTATGACATCCTCTTCTTCTATCCTCTTTAGAGTACTCTGATTCCTAAAACTCTTTTCCTGTCTGTAAAAATAAAAAAAAAAAAATAAAGAACAACAACAGAAATAACAACAAAAACCACATCACTTCTAGTCAGTTGTTCCTGCTAGCAATTTATCACCATGAATCTCACTCAAGTCCTCACTCTCCTCCTTACCTTCCTTAGCTTCTATGGCCTAATATTAAAATATTCCTTCTATCATTGCCACATGGCCAACCTTAATCCTGTTTAGAACTAACTCTTTTCCTATCTTGCTCCTGAAATATAGCAGCTAATCACAAATGGTGGCAAAATGCATAATATGTTTGCTATGATCACATTAATTTCATAACCACACTCATTAAGGGGGCCTTAGTGTAGCTCTGTCATCCCTCTTCATTTTCACTTATCCAGTCCCATGGGAAATTATTTTATTTTAGATTTCCATTGCCTTGGGAAATTATTCTCTTCTCTCTTCAAACTTTCGACCCCTTCTCTTCTGCAACCTCACTTTCAGTTAATGAGCTTGCTTATTATTTCATTGAGGAAGTAGAAGTAACTAGAGGAAGATTCTTGCATGCTTCCACCACCATATAGAGCAACATCATTACCCATATGCCTTACCTGATTATCAAGGCAAACCCACCTATTTAAGTACTAAACCCATCCACTTCAGTGCACTCAAGGCCATTGCTCTTGCTAAGGCTTTGTCTCTTGCATCATCATTTTTTTCACTAGTGGTCTCTTTCTGTTAGTACATAAACACAAACTATATTGAAGAAATCTTCCCTTGATTCTATATCCCTTCACATAGTCCCTGTCCCATTTTTCTCCTCTATAGAGAAGAGTTTTTGTAGTCACAGTTTTTTTCTCTTCTCTTCCCATTCCTTCTTGGACCCACTCTGTTCAGGCTTGTGTTCTTGCTGTGCCACAGAGGCTGCTCTTGGCAAGGACACAAAAATCCTCTGCATTATATTGTCTAGTGGTCATTTATTAGACATTCAATTTAACCAAATAGTATCATTTACACAAACATTATTCACACATTATTACTTGAAACAACTTCTTTACTTGACCTTCATAATACCAACCTTGTTTTTCTACACACCTCACTGGCTGCTCCTTCTCATTCTCCTTTGATAATTCCTCTACACCTCCCAGATCTTTAAACACGAGTATGTTTCAGGACTCAGTTATCTCACACAGGTGATCTTTTTGTATTCTGCAGCTTTAAATGTGACCATCAACTTTAAAATTCCTAATTTTATATTTCTAGTCTGAATTTCTCCCTGGAACTGGAAACTCATATCTTCATTTCTTGATATCTCTATTCAGATATCCAATATGCATCTGTAAAAGAAAAATTGCACCAGATAAGCTAAATGGAAAATGAAGACTTTATTCAAGACTATTGCAATAAAGGAGAAAGATTGAACTCAACTCTGATAAAACAAAAGATGAGAGAGTTTCAAGCACTGAAGTGAGCTAATGGAAGAACAGTGGAAAACTGGCATCAGGGGAAAGGTTGATTCAGGTGATTAGCACATCAGTTTTTGCAATTGGTGCTTATTGAAGTTAGACTCCTCCCCTCCCACAGAGACTAAGAAATAGAGATGCTTTCTTTCTTTTTATCTTTTAAAGTTTATTTTGATTTCAATTGACATGTAATAATTGTGTATGTATGTATATATATATGTATATGTGTGTGTGTATATATATAATATATATATGCCTATAGTCATATACCTATATGGTACATTTGAGAGGGATAGTGTAATGTTTCAATATATGTATACATTATGTAATCATCAAATCAAGGTAATTAGCATATCCATCACCTCCAACACCCGTCATATCTTTGTGGTGAGAAAATTCAAAATCCTTTTTTCTAGCTATTTTGAAGTATATAATACATTATTCTTTACTGTAGTCACTTTACTTTGCAATAGGACACCAGAAATTATTCCCCCTCTCTAACTAATTTTGTACCCATTGACCAACATCTCCCCATCTCCCCCACCTCTGGTAACCACTATTCTACTCTCCACTTCTGTGACATCAACTTCTTTATAATCCACATATAAGTGAGATCATGTGGTATTTGTCCTTTTGTACTTGGTTTATCTCACATAATATAAAAAGACAAAATAACAAATGCTAGTGAGGGTGTGGGGAAAGGGAACTCTTATATATACTGTTAATGGGAATGTGAATGAGTATAGCCATTATGGACAACAGTGTGTAAGTTCCTCAAAATACTAAAAATAGAATTACCATATGATACAATAATCCAACTACTGGGTTTACATCAAAAGGAAATAAAATCAGTATGTCAAAGAGATGTCTGTGCTCCCATGTTTACTGCGGCACTATTTAAAATAGCCAAGATATGGAATCAACCTAAATGTCAATCAACGAATCAATGGATTAAAAAATGTGGTGCGTATGTAAACAATATAAAACTACTCAGCCATAATAATAAACAAAATTCTGTCATTTGGAATAACATGGATAAACCTAGAGGTGCCATCTTTCTTAAAGATTACATGTCAAAGGGATTGCTTCTAGCAGCTTGGGAAGAATATTTCTGGGATGTGGAAGATTTGGATCTCAAGAGGGCAGAAACAGTTTTCTCTTGCAAATTATCTAAAATTAGTGTTCTTTAAAAAGAAATGCTATGAGCCTATAGTCAGGAAGAAACTTGTCCAAAATTTAGTCAACTTGAGGGGAATTTTAAGGCCATCCTGGTCACATCTCAAGCTTAAAATCACCAAAAATGAATTATTGATTTTCTTCTACCCTCAAACTTGTCCATCCCCCAGCATTCTCCAACTCAGTTGCAATTATATTCTTCCAGTTATTTGGGTCAAAAACCTTAGAGTCAACACTGATACTTTCTACCTTCCTCTCTGTCTCTCCCCAGCACCCCCACCCACTTCCAATTCCTCTTTAATCTTTATCTAGCTTCCAACCACTTTTCATCAGACTTTTCACTCCACCCTAGCCCAAGGCAGCAAAATTGTCCAATGTATTATTAAATTACTTTCCTAACTATTCTTTCTGGTTTCATTCTTTCTTGTCCTACAGTCTACCATTTAGACTGCCAAGTTTCTATTCCACTCAAATCCAAAGCTGTTATCTTGGCTTAAAAAGCTCAATATATTCTTCTTCCTGTTTTCTCCTTACTTTAATCTCGACCTTTGCCCTCGCACTCTAGATTCTCCGTGCATATTTGCCTTTCTGAGTCACATGTGCCTCTTTGTTGTCCCTCATACATTCCAATCATGTCTCTGTCTCCAGAATTTATGACTTGCTTTCTTCATTGTTTGAAACACTCTTCATACAGATACCATCTTTCTTTCCTCTTTCTTCTGTCAGGTCTCAGTTCCAATGTCAAATGTTATTACCTATTTTGGTCTTTCCCTAAGTTCATGTAATATTACAATATAACAGCCCTGTTTTTTCTTCATAGTTCTTATCACCACTTGGTGTATTATTGTGTTTGCTTAACTGTTTGTCTGTCCAATTAGAATATATGTTCTTTGAGAACCAGGGCTTCTTATATGTTTGTTTACTAGAGAAAGTGTGCCAGGAGCAGAGTAAGCAATAAGTATTTGTAAAATAAATGAATAAATTTTCTGCCTTAGATTGATGGTTACAAATGGCTATTGACTCCCATTAAAGCACTTCACAATCTTCAGTGAATCAGTGCTATGCCCTTTTTTATTCTTTCAGCCCTGGCCTCTCTTACCTTCAGTGATTTAATCATCAACATATTTGATTATCTTGGCTGCACAGATAATAATCTTCAGTGTTTGAACTATTTAATGAAAAAGCTATACTTGAAACTAACCTCTTAGCTCTGCAATGTATTTCTCTGCATATAAATACCTGCATTCTCATTTCTCCCTATCCTTTTGACCAACTACAGCTATCTCTGTCTGGATTATGATCTCTAAGTTACTTAACTTCATTCTAGTCTTGCTTACTCTTCTCTCTCATTCAACCCCTTCTCTCCTAGGATGAGTTCTATAATCAGTCAATTTGGTACTGTGCTCATTACTGCTCCTAATTCATTCATATTTTAGCAAACACTTAGCATGCTGAGGCTTCTGATCCTCAGCATTTGTAAAAATCTAACATTTATTGTATCTGTTGTAATTCCTTGGTTTCATGTGGCATCTTTCAGCCTACTCAGTAATCTTTTTGTTCACACACTGATTTTTTTTTTTTGGTTCATGTTTCCATGGTCTGTAGATTCCATTGTATATGGTCTAAAATCATGCCTATGTCCCTCTAAACATAAATCTAATTTCCTTTTTCTATTACAATCAGTAGACAGCTTTATATTTAATTTTATTTTAGTCATTTGATGTGAGATTTTCCAGATTTCTCCTTAGCACTAAAATGCATCCCTTTTTAAAATAGAATTCATCTCTTCCTTAACTCCAATATTCAACAAAAAGATTATTTTTTGTTACCCTAAACCTCCAAATTCTATACTCGTTAACAATCTATCCCATCTTATTTGGGATCTTCTTCCCATATACTCAGGGGTTATTTTTCTCCAGCATATTTAATCAACCCTGTCTCTCTGTTTATAATTAATCATTATTTTAATCATTTTATGGTAGTCATTTTTTGTTATTTGTCTACTTTGATTAGTTGGGAATTTTTAAGAACAAAGATAAAGTCTAACTATTTCCAATATTTTCCACATTATAAATCTATCACACTGTAAATACTGAATAAATGAATGTTATTAAGGCTTTGAAAAGAGCATGGGGAAATATAGAATATTGTATAGAATATTAGATGCCTCTCTCGATTCACCCCAGAATTGCCATAAACTAATAGCTAATTACTCCAAATTTGTGATTGTGGTAGTGGCGGTGGCAGCAAGGCATTATTTACTTAAAATATTTGATTTTTATGGCAATGTTCTTAAAGCTTTCCGAAATCTAAAGCTGAGTCCTGACTAGTCTTAGAGCTTCTTTGGCCTCTTTTCAGAGTCTAGTTGAATGATTAATGAAATCCTTACTCTCCATTTGCCTTTTGAATGTTCTATTGAATCTGCATTGAATCCGACCTCATTCATCAGGCGTGTTGTCTGGAAGAGTCTCAGAGAATCCCTTCTGGGAGTTTTAGAGTCTTCCATTTGACCTTGGAGAGAAACCAATCTTGAAATTGTACTATGCAACCGAATTTTCCTTTTGTTATACCTTCTTAGTGACCACAAAAGCAAAGGAGTCTATAAAGACATTATGTTAAGAAAAAAAAATTTGTATTGATTCACTGGAGTTGCATTTTATATTAAAACAAAGGCCTGAATTTTATCATTCTTTCTAGTGTATTTAATTTTGACAGCTATTAGATGGCTCTCTGTTATTGTCAAAACATATTATGGTCGTTTTCTAATTTTTCTACTCTCATAAGTTTCAGTTCTTGTAGCAAAGATGACAAAACATTTTATTACTTTTATTTTAGAAAACTTTTTCAAATAATTTTTATTCAGATTCTTGTTGAGCTATCTACACAACTTCCTCTGCAAGAAGAAATTTTAAAATCCCCCTTTGAACTATTCTTTAATATAACTGAAGGAGTATATTAAAATTTTTACAAACAAACAAAAAACCCTATATCTATATCTTTTGTCAGAAATAGGTAGTGTTTAGGTGGAAAGAGAAGTATGATGGAGTTTGAGAAGCTCTGCTTAATTTCTTATTTTGTCACCAAGACTCCAAGAACTTTTTTTAAAAAAAATAATGGTCCTGTTACAGCCGTTCTCCTTCACCTGCTTGCTATTTCCACTAAAACGGATTTATGTTGAACATCCCATACCACACCAGAGTGGTATACTTTTTACAATTGATGAACCTGCATTAACACATCATTATCAATTAACATCCATAGTTTATTTCAGGGTTCACTTTGGGTGGTATACATTCTCTGGATTTTGACAAATAAAAAATGATATGTAGCCACCATTGTAGCATCATACAAAATAGTTTCACTTCCCTAAAAATCTTCTGTGCTTCAACTATTCTTCCCTCCTGCCTCCCTAACTCTTGGAAATCAATGATCTTTTTTACTATATCCATAGTTTTGTTTTTTCCAGAATGCCATATTTTGAAATCATATAGTATGTAGCCTTTACAGATTGGCTTCTTTTACTAAGTAATGTGCATTTAAGCTACCTGTTTGTCTTTTCATGGCTTGATAGCTCATTTC